AACTTTTGTGCTCAGTAGTGCATGTGACAAAAACTTTGGGACTTTTTGGTGAGATGCAGACTGTGTAAATAGAAGAGAAGTATATTTATATATTTAAATAATGACCAGATATTCGTTTCCTTTCAGAAGTTCAAATTAACTTCCTGAACTAACACAAATACTTGAGCGTAGATTGGAAAGCATGATTGAAAATACTGGCCAAAAAACTGCCTTGACAGGGTGAAATATCCATAAATCAATCATGAAGAAGTATTTTTTATCGACTGCAGATAAGCTACAAACTACAACATACTCTGAAAAGATCACACAAACACCTAACATAAGACAGTTAGGCTGCACAAATAACCATAAACAAATATTGCAGTGAATGTACTGTATAAAACTAGACTTTTCTACTAACTCGTCAGTGCTCAGGACACTAAAAGGCTGGTAGCAGGACGACGTACATCCAGTACAACAGGACTTTCAGGACTGTGATCTCCACCCAGGCGCTTGAAATCATCTAATGTGAGACGTGCTGATACCGTCTCTGATGTCGCCCTCATTCCACAGATGATTCCACAGACTGATGCCGCTGCACAAAACAAAACAATCCTGACACCAAGCAAACAACATGGACATTTTATAGAAACCTCTTTCAGATGCCCGCTGTCACAGGTGTGTTTGGATCAAATAAGAAAGGCGTCACAGTCAGCGATAAATTTCCTACGTCTTCTAATCGCTGACAGAATCTTGGAACATTGCCTCAGTATTTGTTTTTTTTGTTGTTGAAACTCTGCAGCTCCGAGTGATACACCTGCCAAGTTTGAAGTAGATCTGATATCCATTCATTCTCTATACAACGCTTAATCCTCACTAGGGGCGCTGGGGGGCTGGAGTCTATCCCAGCTGACACCCTGGACAAGTCACCAGTCTATCACAGGGCCACACTTACACAAACAACTCACATTCACACCTATAGACAGTTTACAATCACCAATTAACCTCAGCATGTTTTTGGACTGTGTGGGAGAAAGCCGGAGAACCCGGAGAGAACCCACGCTGCACGGGGAGAACATGCAGAAAGATCCCAGGTGTCCTCACCGGGACGTGAACCGGCGACCTTCTTGCTGTGAGGCAACGGTACTAACTCCAGAGCCATCTTGCGGCCCTGATTGGCAACATACTTTACATTCAGTTTAATCAGAGAGTCTTTCTTGAGTTCTTTTTTGAATCACTGCTGTATTCTTTCCTATTGAACATGCACAGATTTGGTTGTCTCTTGAAGAAGCTGGGCGCTGTCCAAAAGATGAAAATAAAAAACTACAGGTGTATACAATTGTGAAATGACACAGAGTGCAGTCTGACTTCTCTGCTTCTCCTCTGCACATTTCATGGGGCTTTTTCCTTCCCTTTGGATATCTAAACCATTCTCAAAAATCCACTTCACTTGAACAACAACCTCTGAGCTACCTGGGTTTTGTTGAAGATTTAGGCTGTGCAATAAAGCAGCTCTGCTTGTTTTTTATTTTCCTGGTGAGTTTGATGACTAGGCTCGCTGTTCTTAGTCCAAACAGTCACATTTGAGTTTCATCACACTAACACTAGTCACCTGCATTCTGTTCACCTTTGGTTTGTTTACATCACTCTGCTGTACATATTACCAGTTAGAATAGAACATCTGTAACATGCAGTGATGCTCTTCCAACAGCAGAGGGCAGCATCCTCATGAATACAAAGCCGCATAAGCATGAAGCAACTTTCAAGCTTTCAACATGAAGCATTTCCATGGTTACCTGAGAATCTCCCACTCGTCACATCTGCAGCGTTAAATGCAACAGTGATGGAAAGCAGTTAACTAGATTTACTCCATACTGTTCTTTAGAAGTGACTGTATTTCGATGTAATAATAGGTTCCACAATAGGTCATTCAGTTGTGTTAAATTGGTCCATTAACCCCATCCAGCTGCATCATGTTTGCAATATCTCACTTAATCGTACTAACTGTCAAGGTAAAACAAACTAAAATGGTATAATATGCACAATAATGTAGAACATTGTGTATTTTTCCTGGGATAATGCAGTGTACTCTTATCAGGACAGTGTTTTCTCTGCATTCAACTTAAAGCCAGTCTCAATTCATGTGTTCTCTTTGTCCAAACCACACTGTTAAAAAAAAAGAAGAAGACAAAATGTAGACTGAATTCACTTACCTAATGTTAGATGATATTTAAAAAATACTATTAAATGTTCATCTTTTAAAGAAAAGTGACAATATATATATGTATGTGTATATATCTGTGTATCCATCACCATGGCATTTAGAATTCCATAGAATTCTTTAGGGTTCTATAGAATTATTTAGAATTTTATAGAGTTATTTGGAGTTCTATAGAATTATCTAGAATTCTACAGAGTTATCAATCAAATCAAATCAAATCAGCTTTATTGTCATGTTGCTGTACACACACAGCAGTACAGGCAAGATGAGAGAGCGTTTCTTCAGGATTATTCAACCAGCAAGTTTTGCAGAATGCACATCTTGGATAAGACACTAAATGTTCGCTGTCTCCTGAAGGGGGCGCTGCATCCATGTGCGCCGCCATTCGTTGAACAAAGTGAACCTCTTCAGGTCCTGGTAGGTCTTCATGGACACAAAGACACACATGATGGTGTGACGATGGTGAAGCTGCAGATGCTGCCCAGAGCTAGCTGTCTGTCCACCTGGAGTAATGTCGTCCCCTCCCCTGAGATGCTGTCATGGAGCCATGTTTCTGTTAAAGCAGACACACAGCAGTCCCTCCACTCTCTGAGGGTTTCTCTCAGCAAACGTCCAGCTTGTTGTTGAGGGAGCGGACATTGGAGAGTAGGAGGACGGTCCTGCTGGTCTGGAGGGGTTAGCCTTTAGCCCAGCATGGATCCCGCCTCTCCTCCTCTTCCTCCTTTGTTTACGTTCATACCGATTGCTTCCTTCTCTCTCGGGTAACTGCTAACGTAGTCTCCGATCAGACTCCGTGTTGGTGTCGTACGTCCACATCACAACCGATCGCCGCAATTCCAGCATCGTTCACTGTCCTGACGCCCAGCAAAGTCTCCCAGCTGCAAGTTTTGGGGAATGAACATCTGGGATAGACAATACACTCAAAATGTTAACATTTGCTGTCTCCTGAAGGGGGCGCTGCGTCTATGCGCGCAGACATCACCATTGCAACAGTAAAACACTTTTTTCTCTATATATATGTGTATTTAGTATATTATATTAATATATATATATATATATATATATATATATATATATAATACTATAGTAAAACAGCCAGTTATCGTCATAGAGTAATGTCATTATCCTGTTTCAACAAAATTCCCCGAAATTGATTCCAGGAATAACTTTTGCCCGTTTAAAGTCATGGTCTGCCGATCATTACGGCTCATGGGCCGAGCGTCGGTCATGCGTGGCAGATTGTCACCCCCTGGTCAGTCGCAAACAGCAATGTGTTTTTGTCCATTACCTGCTCACCTGAGATCTGCTTCACTGAGTTATTCACACTATCTGACGTTAACTAGGGCACATCAAAGAGAATCGCATTGTTGCAGAGCATGTTGTCACTCATAGCTGAACTGCGTAGCCAGTTAATCATGATAAGTTCATCCTCTGTGTACCGTCCTGATTAAAGGAAACAACTTCTATTGATGGGGTGGCTTTTCATACCGACAAAGGTGAAATTTCTATGAAGCAAAACCATGAAGCTCCGTTTGAACAAACATAAACATTCTCTTTCCTTAAACACTTCATTTCCCAAACACATGTCAATGCGATACAGGCCGTGTAGATGGTGCTGGTCCAGTACATGGGCTAGTCTTCACACCCAAACCAGGTTATTGGAATATCCTGGACAAGGTCATAATTACATCCTGGACCGAGGATATGATAATAAGCGGGCAGCACCGTATCGATTATTTTTGCAGAGCGCTCTCTCATGTGTGTCATACCTTTACTGTCAGATGTACTTTTTAAGGGCTTTTTCCTAAAGTGTCTTTGTCATGCAAAACAGTTCTCACAGGTGTGCTGACAAACCTGTTAGAGTCGTGTAGTGAGACACACAAATGTGCAGATCTATATAATAATGTGTTAGGTGTGATGCATATCAGTCATGAGATGTGCTGTATGTACGTGTTTTAAACTTGGAACGACGAGAGTTTTTCATTAACAAGCTGAAAATGAATGATGTGCTTCAGTATACGTCTTATGTGTTGTGTTGTTATCCAACAAGGACTTCGGGTACAGCACCTGCAGTTATTGGTTATTTTGGAAACAGCCACCACTTTGAAACTGCCTAATTTTAGACTAAACACTTCACCTTTACTGAAATTCCATTCAGCTTTTTTCTTCCACTTCACCTTTTGTCAGTAGGTGACCCGGACGTCTTCACTGAACAGACTCTTCGGTGGCTCTTGAGTCTTTATCGGACGTTAGGAGGTGGAACTGACGCAGTGTTTACAGCCAACAAGAGATTTCAGTGCATTAGAGTTTACTGGTGTGTACGACACCAGCGTCCCGCATTTACTGTGCGTTCAAATGCAAGTACAGGTCATGTAACCATGACGAAGGCAACGGTGCTGCTGCTACATGAAACACTGAGTCTCTTTTATTACTGACCCTCATCAATTTTAATGTGAAATTAAGCCTATTAAAGAAAACTAAAGCCAAAGCAATAAAATTACCCGACAAGGAGGAAACTTGAGATCGGTCGCTTATTTCTACCATCAACAGCAGCCACGATGCTGGTGTGAATTCCTGGCAGCACAGACAACAGGGCCTCTTGGAAAGGAATGCTGTCCTGCACGTGTTTGTGGAAACACCTGCTGTCATCCTGATAGGTACAGACTGCTCACTTCCTTGTTTAGTCTGTACATTACCTGCCGTCACTGCAGACTCACCTGTCAGGTGGGAAGAAGAGATGACAACAGTGACAGGAGACGGAAGAAGAGAAAAAGAAGCTATCAGTCCATCACCTTGCATCATGTCTTTGCTAAAGCCGGAGGAGCAGCTTGTCCATGAGCTGAGCTGTCCCATCTGCCTCCAGCTCTACTCTGACCCCGTGGTCCTCCCCTGCGGCCACAACTACTGCCGAGCTTGCATCTGTAAGACCGCTGACACCACAGACAAGAGCGGGACGCTGCCACGCTGCCCAGAGTGTCGTGAGGAGTATCAGGGTGTGGGTTCCCTTCAGAAGAACTTCAAACTCTGCAGCATCATCGAAGGTTACCGAGCCGCTGCACCACAGCTGGACGGGCAGTCGGACGCTGACCTCGAGGGGATGAGGAGGGTTTTCTGCGACCACTGCATAGATGAGCAGACGCCGGCCGTGAAGACGTGCCTGAAGTGCGAGGTGTCGATGTGCTCCAGGCACCTTCAGAAACACCAGGAGAGAGAGTCCTTCAGGGAGCACACTGTGGTGGAGTCCCTGAACGAGCTGGGGACGAAGGGCTGCGCCGTCCATCGCCGTCCGCTGGAGTACTTCTGCTCCACTGACATGACCTTGCTGTGCATGACGTGCTTCGTAGAAGGTCACCACCTTAACCACGACGTTCTGACCTTTGGTGTGGCTGAAGAGGAGATGAGACGAGCGCTGGAGAGCCGCAGTAAGGTAACTTCAGTGGTGTCATCGCTGTACACTTCACTGTTATTGCTCAGAAGTTTGTCCTGCAGTTGTTTTGTTCCATGACTTTAAAGGATTTGCTGTCATTTACAATGTGGGGAATCAGTATTTAAGTGAAACACGGGGTAGCATTCTATTTTACATGTGAAGTTTTTTGAATTATGTCCAAACAATTTCCAAGATGTTGCTTGGAAAAAAAACAAAACCTCTGTAACTTGGCATAAAGAAATTATATTTAAATGAAATTACTGGCTGTACAAACCTGTAAAGTAAGTAATTCTTAAACAGAACACATGTAGTCAAGCAGCTATAAAAAGGCCCATGGGAAACAACAACTGAAACGCGACACATTTGAAGACTGAATGCGATGGATAGAGGATACCCAGCTCACTGTCTTTGTGTTTGGGAACTTGTGAATGACAAGAATGCAGAAGAGATTAAAATCCTGTCTGATGGGAAACAGTGTAATGTCTTCAGACACTTCTCGCTTCCAGATGACTGGTTCAAATTCTCAAATTACATCCGTGCCGAGTAGACGTGCCAAGTCATCACTCATACTTTGACATGTAGGCCTAGATATGACCATCCTCATCTTTCTTTCTTTTAACTTACATCAATAGGAAACTTAACCGAGTGGCCGGAAATATACTCAATGTGTTTTCCAAATGTGTGTAATCAGAAAAGTGCATCCAGTTATTCCAGATCTTTTGTGTTAAACACAATAGGAAGAACCCTTCTGTGTTTAAAACAGAACTAACAAACATGGCGCTCGCAGGTGGTTTCCAGCCGACTGCAGATGACGGAGAGTCTATTGCAGCAGACAGCAGAGGAGCAGGGAGCTTCTGAGGCCATAGGGGACAAGCTGGTCAACAAGGCTGTCGCTCTCATGGACAGTATGGCTGCTCTGATGGACAGGTAACACGCTGCACATGTGACGGTAGGAATCCTGCCTTCAACATGTGACATAAGCAGATATGTTCTCTGCTCCATCATTGCCCTAATGGAGCAGATCAGATTGGGTTCTAAAGTACAGGGGGTGTAAGTGGGAAGTTTCTTTTGTTTTGTTTTTTTTTAAATGTAAGCAACCCTGTCACACATTTAAATGATGGTAGAACTTAGTGTCATGAGACCATCACTGCAAAAAAGGTTAGCCCAAATATAAGACAAGTAAATTTTACTTGATAAGAAATCCTGAAATAAGATTTTTAATGTTCAATTTAAGATTGTACTGTAAAATCAAGGACTAAAAATGAGTAAATAACTTTTAAAACAAGCCAAATTATCCATTGTGTCTAAAAATAAGATTCTAAATCTTGGCAAGTCCCAGATTGTTTGCAGTGATCTACCCTCTGTCATAAGTCACGTCGCCAACAGGAAAATGTACAGTATGTGCACGATGTTTAAAACCGCAGCTAAAGGCCTGAAGAGGAGAATCAGTCAGCTGCAAATAAAAACCATAGATCATATCTCAGCAAAACAAAGATTTTGTGCCGTGAATCCGGTTCATCAGCATTTTTTTAGCCTGCCGGTAAACTGTTTGTTTCCCAGAGGCATAGACCATTCAAGGCTATTTATAAAACCTTTGGATGTGTACAATCCTTAAATTACAGTATAAATACAGTAAAAAAAATATGAGATTTTATGTAAAGGAGGAAGAGACACGACTGCCAAGCCTAAGAGGTGTGCTTTGGGTTAAAATACTGTTAAAATAAACACAATGGCATCGCTAACATGCTGATGTTTGTCATGTATACTGTTTCACCATCTTTGTTTATTGTACTTGCACACTAACGTAATCTGTTTTGCAAGTATTTGTAAAAAAAAAATAATAATAAATCGAAAACTGGACCTGACGATGGTGTCAAATAGAATAGAATAGAATAGAAAAATACTTTCTTTATCCCAGTCTGGGAAATTACTGTGAAATGAAAACAGACAGGACAATCAAAGTTATTACAATTAATCATGAAGAGGCCTGAATGTCAATCCATCCAATACTTGTTAAGACAATAAACATGGTTAAAGACACCCAGCTGTCCAATCATTAATATAAAATAAAAATAATTTAGAAAAGAAACAACCGAGCAGTCTTTCCGGTGATATACCAGCAATAGGACGAGGTAATAAAAGTGGTTCCAGTTCAGCTTCTGACTGATGTGTTGTGTTCAGGTACAGGGATCGTCTGCGTGTGCTGTTGGAGGAGGAGCGAGGCCAGCGCAGGAAAAGCTGGCAGCTCGGCGTGAATGTGCTGGAAGAGCAACAGCAGCAGCTGCTGGAGGCCCAGAGGAGCGCCGCACAGGCCCTCACCGAGACGGACACGTGCCTCTTTATACACAGGTAATATCTTTCAACTAAATTAATAAGTATATAGAACAACCTAAAAACTTTCTCTAAAAAAAGACAGTGTGCATAATTGCGTATTGCCATGAGTTGTGTCCCATGGCATATAGATAGATGAGACCAAAAATAAGACAAAAAAAGGCAACACATGGACCATAAAAATGTACAGTAGACGGGCGATATGACGCCCCTGCACTACCCAATAGTAACTGTTTTATTCCTTTTCCAATATTTTGCATTTTGATGACAGACTTCCTGGCCATGGAGAAAACTAAATGTGAGACGATTTGTTTTGGCTGCTCTCTGCTGGAGGGCTTGTGTTGCTCCACTTTTCTCTTTAAATACCCTAAAGGTGCTCTGCTAGACTGAAGACAACATACTCGACCATGTCACAGTTTTTTTTTTAGAAGCTCTGCTGTGATTTTGGCAGTGATCTTTGGATGGCTATTGTGCTGGAATATTTCTCTTCTGTCAAACTTCTGCAGACTAGGAGTCTTAATGTCAGCCAGGATGTTTGAATGTCCACATCTTTAAACACCATCTCTCCATATATCCCATATGATCACAATCCCATCTATGTCACTGTCAGGACTATACGTTCACTGTGGTGGTCCTGACCAGGTTCATGCCAAAGATGCTGGACCTCAGCATGAACTAAGCAAACTTGTCTTGGTCTTATCTGTCCAAAGAAGGTGCTCACAGTATTCTTAAGGCTTTTTTCATACTTTTTGGCAAAACTTATTCTTGCAATTTTGTCCTGAAGAGATGTTTTTCTTGGACACTACTACGGTGACACTTTTTACGTCCATCTTTGTGAAGTCTTATAATAAGATTTTTTTTCTCCCGAAAATTCTTTCCCATGTGGAGCCATGGTGCAGACATGCAACACACAGGTTCACAGTTGAGCAAGTTTTGGGGTTTGTGCCAAATTTTACAACCATATTCATGCAGTTGGACTAATTAAAATATCTTGAAATATCTTTTGACTTTTAAGGAATTTGCACAGGGGTGTGCTCACTTCTATTGTATACTGTATTTAAAACTATTCACATGATCAGCTTTACAAACTGAGATAATGCATACACCCAATACAACACAACACAGGCAAGTATTTACTTGATGCCATATACAAAGATGTGTCTGTATATTTATGCAGCTGACATGAGTATGGATAGAAAAGAATATTTTGTTCTCCAGGTTCATGCTGATTGAACGAAGCCTGAGAGAAGCCGTCACAGGCAACATCGCCGCCAAGATCCCCTCCAAGGCTCCGCTCAACACCAAGCGTCTTCAGGCAGGCCTCAAAACCCGAGACTTCAGATCAGAAATGACCCACCTGCTGGAGTCCCTCCACATCCTTCTGAACCCTCTGGAGCTCACCTACAACGTCTGCACCGCCCACCCCAGCTTGTTGGTGTCCAACGACCTGCGCACGGTCAAGTACAGCTCCAGCAAGCAGCCATATGTGGAGCACCCGGAGCGTTTTATGAGTGCGCCTCAGGTCCTGTGCAGTCAGGGTTTCTCGAGCGGTGAGCACATATGGGTGGTAGAGGTGGGGGCCAAGAGCATGTGGTCCTTGGGCGTGTGCTACAAGAGCATCCCTCGCCGTGGTGACCACAGCCGCCTGGGGCACAACTCCGTGTCCTGGAGGCTGCAGTGGAAGAACAACAAGCTGACGGTGTGCGAGTCCTCCTGCAACACGGCCCTCAAGGAAACCACCGTCCATCCCACCAGGATTGAGGTAGCGCTGGACTACGAAGGGGGGACGCTGACCTTCCACAGCACCAAAGAGCAAAGGGAGCACCTCCACACCTTCAGGGCTGTGTTCAGGGAGCCGGTTTACCCAGCGTTCAGTATTCATTCAAACACACCAGAGTCCTGGATCACGCTGCACAGTGGGGTGTGAGCAACTACTATTAAACCCGATTCAGGACTTTTGGGGTCTTTTGGACCCCAGGCCATTTGGTTTAGGTGACAGGTATTTTTATTTTTTTTAAGATTTTTCAATATATATATATATATAAAGAGGGACATTAGTCATGCATTTGGAACCAAAAATACGGCAACTTATCAGAAAATGTATTTTACATAGTATAAAGGTCTGTAATGAATACCAACAAATATTTTGCACATGTTTTGTCCAATGGACCCCAAAAGACCTTCCATGTATGGCAACATGAAAGTCCTGAATAGGGTTAATGTTTCCCATGCACATAACTTAAAGCTAAACTTTTTCTGGGCACTTTTGTATTTCCTACCGACTTTCAAAAGTCTTTCTGGAAATACGCTAAAACGTTTCCTTCAAGTGCAATTTCCGCCGTAATAAGTAGCTCAGATTGTAATGTTGTGGAGCTGTTCAGTGCTACATGTTCTCACTGACGTTAGAAAATAATCCTTCAGAGTATGTTTTGCATCACAGATACAAAAGCGTATGTTTTCTTTATAGCATGTCTGCATTACAGAATTTGAGCATTTTATTCATGTGGAATGATTTGTTTACAAAGACTTAATTAGTTTTTTTTTCACTAATAGGGTGATTTTGTGGATTTATTCATGTGGAATCTTTCTTTTTGTCTGAGACACCAGCAGTATGTAATGCTACCATTTTATCTGTTTATCGAATGTTACTTGAATAAATGTGCGTGCCTTTTATTTTCCTTATATGCAGCAAACAGTGAGTGGTGACATTTAGGCTGAACATGCTTTGTGCAATAAATAAACTTGGGTGGTTATTGTTTGTGTTTCTGTTGACAAGATGTTTGTGTATCTATGGCTGTATGTATGACAAATACAGTCGTCCTCAAATGTATTTTTACTCTCCCATTAAAGAAGGAAAGAAAAAGCTGTCACTGAAATAAGGTGAAATTGACAAAAGTAATAATATATATATATTTTAAAATGAAATCATGACATTGCTTTTGAATTGTGGTTCAACAGAAATGTTTTTTAAAAAAGAAGAAGAAGAAAAAAAACAAGTATGATGGGACCCTTAAACTAATATTTTGAGCCAATCACTGCAATCAAGTGTTTCCTGTAACTCTCAATCAGACTTCTGCACCTGTTGACAGGTATTTTGATTTTGGCCCACTGCTCATCAGCAAAGTGCTCTAATTTGTCCGGGACAGTTTTGTTTGTGTTTTTAAAAAATATATTCTTTTGAACCACAATTCAAAAGAAATGTTTTATTTCACTAAATTATAATTTTTATGACTACTTTTTTCAGTTTCTAGTTATTTGAGTGACGATTGTGAATTTTGCCTTTTCTATAACGGAAGGGCAGGAACACATCTGAGGACGACTGTAGGTTTTATGAGCATCTCTGGACAGTTCATTCATTCAAAGGTGCATTTTGGGGTTGCCAGGTTTGACTTCAAATCTGTAAATAAAGAATGATTCAACCAGTTTTACTTTACCAAAACGTACCTTCAAAACACATGTGCCTAAATTGTTTCTGAATAATTTCAGCTTTATTTTAAAATTAAGAAACCACGCTTTTGGTTTCGCACATACCCGTGAAAGGGGGATGATCGTGGAATTGTCTGGCAACCCGCATTCCATCTGTCACACATTCTGTCATTGGGCAGGACACAAACATTATTTCATGTTAGCAGCGTTATCCTGACGTTTGAACAGCTGTCAGCAGAAGGCATGGGCTCCGGAGAGAGTACAACCAGGAAAGTGTCTTTCGGTGTCGATGACGAGGACCGAGTCCGGATTCTCCGCGGAGTCAAGGTAATGCTAATCTAGCTAGCCTTGATAAGCCATGCTAACGTTACTTTAAATGGGGAGCTCGATGCTAACTAGCTGTTAGCGTGTTGCTACACAGCAGGTGAAGTTATCAGTTTAGCCTGAGCTCAACAATCGTGCTAAGTCTCCAAGCGACAGGTGAAGTGAGGAGGATGTAAAGGGATGCAGGGGCTGCGGCAGGTTGATGAACGAGCTGAAACGTGCCACCTTTTCGTCACGCCAAACTTCAGCCATAATAAGGGACAATTGGGAGTTCGCCTTGCTCATCAGCAGATTAATACAAAGTGGCTGATGACAAATGAAGTTTATAAATCTCCTGGGATTTCTGATAAATTCGGCGTTCACATTATCCCCCTAGCAGTTGTAAATTTACCACAAATTGCACATTTTCACGGTTCATTTGCTGCCGTCGGGCGTTTGCTAACAGCGTCGGTGATAATGCGCTCAGCTAGCAGATAAGAGACAAACCAAGCGTCAAAGTTTGCTGCTTCTCTACTTGAACTTGTCAGCTGTATGGCGGATGTGTCCCTGAAATAGGGAGAAATTAGCATTATATCTCAGCGGCCAAAAAAAATTGTCGCAGCAGAGGATGTTATTTTTCATTACTAAGTTGGCTTTAAATGAGCAGATTTTGAATGAGGTTTGGTGTGCTCCTCACTGCCTTTTTTTTTGACACTGCTGCGTTCCCGTGCTTTTCTGCGTGTCGGACATTTGTGTTGTAACCAACCGGTGACTTTGTAATGCAATCACCAAAACATATGCAACCACTGGAAACGTTGTAAATATGCTTAACACTGTGGAGAGTGTGTTTTAAACAGATAATAGATTTTTTGGAGGAGTGAATAAACACACACAGTTTTGATCAGCCAACAGATGGCCTTCACAAAATAGACACAACATAATGGATCGTAAGTTCAGGGGTAGGGGTTTCTGGCAGGACACAGTGTCTGCAGTAAATATTTTCTCAACCAAAAATCCTCACAGTTGCACAGTTTCTGGACGGAGGTTTGGTTTAACAGCCTTATGCACCAAAGAGAGGCGTTTGTATTTATTTTTCCTTTCTTGCTGAACTCAAATGGTTCAGGTTCTTGCCGTACTGTAGTGATGCAGAAGTGTACTTGTCGCTCCCTCAGTGATTATAGGTGGAGAGCTCTTTAGACTAACTGCAATGGGTGTGGTCAGAGGAGGTCAGGGACATTAGTGTTTACGGTGTCTTTCAAATTTCCTACAGGAATTGAAGGTAGCTTCAGATCGAGTTAGAGTTCTGCACATATGAAAGTTTAACAGTTGCTTGAATATGAAAGTCCAAGCAAACAAGTTAAAAGTTTACACTTCTGGTGCTTCCATGCAAGGACTGTCTGCACTGTCAGCAAAAACACAAACCGAATACAAAGAGTCTTACAGATAGCCTAATCCTTTCCACAGCCCTGGTTGCACATTCAGAAGTTGTGAGTCATAGAAACAGTGACTAAGTAAATGGTGCTGCCTTTTGTGGTTTTTTAGTGTCTCTATGTTTAGCCATTTTCCTGGATACACACTGACATGCACGCGTACACAAATAAAGGCGAGCTGCATTGATCTTGTGTTTTTTTTTTGCATACTTAGCAGGCTCGAGTGTTTTTCCTCAAAAAAAAAGATGTTTTTCATCTAAAAAAAAAAAAAAAATCACAACAGGTCATGTGATTTGCTTCATAGCTGACTGAAAAAACCTTTAGATCTAAATTAGTTGTTGATTCTGTACATATCTGACTTAAAAAAAATAATAAAAAAAAACAATAAAATTTGCTCTTCATCCCTCTGTTCAGCTGTCAGAAGATGTCCTTCAGAGGATGAGAGGAGTGGCCAACATTGCTCCAGAACGCCCATCAGCAACCTCAAGCCCTCAGAAAGACACAGGTAACGTGCACCTTCCAGCTTTCCTTTCCTCAGTTCCTGTGAAAACTCAAACACAAAAGCTGCTCGCTGATCGTTAAAGTGCTATTTGCATGTTATCGACCATGTGCAGATACTGTTGTTATGCAAACAGTGTGCGTCCTGAAAGGGAAATCTAAAAAGAAATTGTCTTAGTTGTCAATCTTGTCTCAGCATGAAGACGAAACATTTTTATTAGAAAACATGTGGAACAAATTGGAGGCCTGACAGTTGAAAGATGAGAGCGATTACTACTGTAGGCAAGAAGCATCTAAAAGTGAATACACCTGTGACGTCCAATCATCCTACCTGCAGGAACACATAAACATTGGCTGTGTAACTTTAAACTTTAAAAATCTCAATGTGAGACTTCAGGAGGTATATATTGAACCACAGTACCACTAATCAGAGCTGCAATGGCCATCCTTCTAACAGGAGGCCACAGACTCACAGGACTGAAAAACAGGTCCGCAAGAGCTTCAGACTTTGCACAGCGGTTATCAATGGAAATGTGAGTTTTTATGACAGCTCAGACAGTGTGAAGAACAGTTTGTCATGTCAGCCTCTGTGCAAGAAAAACAAGCGTGTGTGCTAATCAGTATAAAACTGGGAGAGGAAACTAAAAGACCTGAAATGAAGCCTGAGGAATACTGGGAGCTCATTCTTTTCTTGGATGAGACCCGCACAACCTGATGTTTGGCGTGAACTTGTCCAGGACGACCACAGTGGATGCATGGTGCTGACAGTGACGCACAGAGGTGGCAATGTGACTGCAAAAGATGTCAGGGAGATGACATTCATAGATGGCATCATGAATGCTGATGAGACGAGAGAAATATTCCACAACAATGATCCAAAGCCAAAATGACGCAAGAGTTTCTAATAAGGATGAAGTGATCGTTTCTTGATGACACATTTGGGATGTTTTAAAGAGAAAGGCAGAGGAGCACAACCCCTTCAGCAAAGAGCAGCTGAAAAAATCTGTCTCCCGAAGATGGACACTGGTACTGTTGAAAGGAATTAAAGATTTTAATCTCACTAATGAGTGGTGTATTGACTTTTTCTGTGTTGAGTTCCTACTGAGGCGGTTTGTGTGTTTAATAGAGTAAATCGAGAGAGCAAATATCCTATTGTTTTAGCTAAAAGTAATGTAATTGCTGTGGGATGATAGAATTCTGAACCATTTGACATTTAAGTGATTTTGCAAAGGCGTGCGCTCGTTTAATCTTTCTGTTGTGTACTGTAAATACAAGCCTTGAACAACATAACCCTTCACTTATTAACATCTATCACAAAGTCTCAAGACTGCAACAATGCATAGTGGCTTGTCTCCTGCAAGACTTTTAACTGTATACATTCCCTCTTTCTTTGTTCAGGTGCCTCTCGCACTGCTAGTTCAGGCTCCCGACCTCAGCAGAACCCACAGCACCGGGCCCAACCCAGCAACCCGTCCAGCAAACCGGCCTCCTACGCCAAGGAAGAACAAAAGAGGTGGGTTGTGGAAGAACATGTGCAAGAAATAAATACATACAAATATGGTCCGAAATCTTCTTACCGCTGACCAGAACTATGTGGAGAAAACCATTCGCAGCAGAGAAAGATGCAACCCTGGGACCATTTCAGAAACGTTCTTTACATCAACCTTTATATCTAGATGTGCTTTCTCTTTAAAAGTCTGCCGGATCATTTTGAGTTTTCGGGTTTCATGCATGATTGCACAGTGAGTAAAGCTACTTAAAAAACAAACAAAATTAAATTACAAAATAACCTGCAAAGCCAAGAGAAGTGGACCAGAATATTAAATGTGTATTTTTGGGTATTACGATCAAAATATCACCGAGCTGCTTATTCCGTTCATTCGGTTATATGATTGCATGCCGCAGTTTGTTTTTGCAGCGATGTGGGGCTTTGTGCAACTGAAGAAAGAAATTGTATTTTAATGGATTTTCAAAAGAGGCGCAGGTTTACTTGTTTAATAGATGTTTATAGTGTATACATCATAGTCTAGAGTGTTTTAGCTTATATGCAGTAATCAGATTCTTTTGGTTTGTTTGGCTCTCTGTTTTAAGAAACGGGAGGGCATCAGTTTATGTTTGAGAATCTTGGGTTAGATTGGGGCAAAAAAAAAAAATGTTAGAGTCCATCATTAAAGCTAAAATCCAAGCGACGTGGTTCAGGCTCCCTTATGTGCATGTTTTCAATATTCTATGGATTTGACAGGTTTAAAATGTTGTATACGTCGCCCCCCTCTGGACATATATGTTTACAGCATTCGTCAGAAGACTGTCAACCTGCCAGGCTGCAGTGAATGTAAACGTTAATTTACTTAAGTGTTGCGAATGTGTTTAAGGTTCGAACGGCAGCAGACGGCGCTGAAGGAGGAGTTTGCCAAGTTGGCGCAGAGAGAGAAGGAGGCCGCGAGGGAGGAGATGACGAAAGCCATGAGCCGGGAAAGACAACACAAACGTCAGGAAGCAGACAAGGCCAAACAACTGGTAGGTACACACACAAACACACACACACACACACACTCATGGATGCATCAAACACAGTTTCTACTTCAGCTGTAAACTCTGTTGGTTCTGACTTGTTTCCTGTCTTGTGTCATATCCGTGCAAAACTGTTCACCAGGTGTCCTAGTTTTAGCTTCTGTAAAAGCAGAGAGGCTAATGATACTTTCCAAGGACAATTTGCTGTTTCAGCTTTACACCAACACAACTAATTTTCATTGCCAATGAGAATTTAAATGATATCGATAGGCAATGTCAAAAACACTAACCATTCACAGTGCACAAAAACTGATTCTTTGGTTTTTGCTGGAAGGCCAGTCTCCCTATGGGGATCAATAAAGTCTTCTAATTCTGAGGTCTATTGAAGCTAATGGAGTCTAAAGCATGCTGTCAAGATATAGTTACCTTCAAACTGGCAGAAAATTCAAAATGCTTGAATGTATTTACAGTTTCTTAAATGCCTTGCTGTCAGTTCACATTCAGATAATGACTACTGGTTTTTTTTTTTGTTTTTTTTTAATGTGGAGATTGTTTTTAGTTCCTTTTTTAAAAAAAGCGATACTGGTTAAGGCACTAAAAGCATATGAGTGTCAAGTGTAAGCACACCAGTCGATCTGCATGGTGACGCATCATATAGTCTTCTGAGACTGCTCAGAAGAAGAAGAAGAAGCTTTATTGTCATCATACAAGAAATACAGCAAAATTTCATTTGGCATCAATTTTGCAGCAGCTAATATGGTCACAAGAACAAAAGTTAAAAGATGAAATAAATAATAAAATAGCAATAAAATATAAAAAATAAAATAAATGCTCTATTAAAAGTGCTAAAGAGCATTTGTTAGAAGAAGTCCGTAAACTGGAAGTGTTGCATCATAGTCGAAAGAATAACATCTGCGTCACTGAGGTGGACCCCCACTGATACACACCGACCTAATATCTGTGTTGTACTTAAACAATAAACACGTGGAGGATGCATTTTGTGTATCATCTAAGCTCATGTGTTAACTGCAATGTCTTCCTCATAAAATACTAGCAGAGCTGACTATTTTTTTTCCTCTTTCGGTGGATGCTTGAGCTTCACTGTGCAGAGTGACGGAGCTCATGTGCACAGGGAAGGAGGCGCAATTACAGTTTCACAAATTAGGTATTAAGTAATGACGCATGTAAGGTGCTCACTGCAGATATTTACATTTCCGTGTACTTTGTGATAAATAATGAAGTCGTGCTCGTGAAGGTGGCCTGGTGGGCAGCCATTTTTATTACTGAAAATGAAACATTTGCAAACATCGGGGTGTACAGATCAGCAGCAGTAAACAGCACTTGACATCGAAGGTACATTGGTTAAGACAGATTGCATAAATAATATGAAATGATTTAATAAAATACAGGAAATAAACATTTCACAAATAAAAGAAGAAGCATGTTTGCTCTGCTATAGTGGCTGTAGAGGTCATCGGATATTTTCAATTTTTCATTGGCTCTGAGGACATTAGATTTAAAGCACTGCTTGTTCAGAGCTTCTAAAAAGCCTTGCTGTCGTGACGAAGGCGCTGTGGGCTCTTGCTGTGGGAATTGAGCAACTCTCTCTCCCTCTGTTGCATGTGGTGACGAGTAACATAACCAGCATGTAGCCGCAGCCACGGTGAGGTGCATCCTGACAGGTGTGATCACGTTGCTGTTATCAGCCATAAAGTGTGCCGATAGGTCCAAGTTTTAGTTTTTTATCCAAATGCTGGGTGCCGTGTTTGCTGCCCCAGAAAAGGAAGTAGAGTTCTTGCAGTTTTGTGACGATGTCTTTCAGCCTCTCCTCAACATTACTGGTCTGAACAGTAAAGGCTAGCGGGCAGCTACAATGCAGGCAGGAGGAAAGATACAGGTTTGGCAGTGTTCTGCCCTCCAATGCATGCTTTGATTCAGAGTGTGTATGGAGAAGAAGGCCCTGTTCACCGACGAATGAGAGACATAGACAAAGCAGGGCACAGCTCACCAAGTAAATAAGATCTGATCCATTTTAAAGAAGATAAAGTCAATATGGTGGCGGGTTGCCACAAAGTAAAGTCACTCTGATGACATAATTTTTTATGTGAAGTGTGCATATTTACCTCAACTTGTCATGATAAGGGGAAAACTTTTGTTTTTTTTAAAACTTGAAACCTATTTTATTGGATTCCTTGACCCCAAAAATATACACTTTGACACCAAATTTCAAACAGAAGCAAAGATATGGGCTCTAGAGTATTTTTGGTGCATTGGCGGCCATTTTTGAAAAAGTGTGTGTATTTCTGATACAAAGTGTGATCTCACTTATGTCTTAGGATCAATTTATTTGTATGACCCTAAGGTACTTCCATACCAAAGGGGACCTTTGCATCATAACCTGAAGTCAAAGGCCTATTTTTTGGGCTTAACCTCCCGACTATATATAGGAAACACTGCAATCCAAGGCTGGTACCTGCAGGACCGATTTGTGACGTCACAACTAATCTGGAAGTCAATTCTGGTCCATTAGCCAACTTACGCAACTTGATGTGGAGACTTTGCGTTGCACTTGCAGTCTTAATGTTGTTGCTGATGTTGTGTTGGTGTTGTGTTGTTTTTCTAGTACATATCAATAAAGTTTTATTCTATTCTATTTCTATTCTATTCTATTAATGGAATGAAGAGGCAGTTACCAGACACAGAGGACTGTCAAAATAAGTTGAAACATGGACTTGTTTCATCCCTGTCTTTGTTGTGCATTATTGTATATATCGATATGTTATCATCACTTGTGGGTCAGTGGAATAATGTGAAACCATCAGTGGTATGGTGTAATGTGTCACCAGCTCGTGTGCCTTTGCGTCTGTAATCCTTTTCTTTATCTTGTGCACATGTGTGGGACAAAATACAACATAGAAAACATCTCCACCACAACTAGATGCCACAGGAAACTTCAGAGGGAATTCATATGTGAAATTTCAGCTCATGCAGAAGCAGCACGTCTGTCTTACCTTTAAGATTTGGAGCAAATGTAGACGATGTTACGTAGCTCACGCAGCCTAACAACCAGCCACGCCAACTGTCTCTGTTTGCCGTCACCTAATGTGCAGCACTAGAATGACTGGGACACTTGTGATGTGCAGTATGTTGCTTCATCAACACTCCAATGCCACGTCTGAGTTTACATTTCAATAATCTTTTGTTTGTACTTTTTCCAGCTAACATGCACACAGCTAACGACTTTGTCCTTGACTGTCATTCAGACTTTACAGAAACTTTAAATATAATTTTTGTCACACAGTCCTGTCGTTAATGTTGGAAAAAATAATCATCAGTTCCCTGCAGTAACCACTAGTGACCTACAGGGGGAGCTCTTGCAGTCTGTGTGCCGTGTCACCCTTTTGAGTTTGGGTCAGCAGTCATCCTGGCAGTTTTGACAGAAGACTTTAGCTTTTACACGAGTTCAGTGATAAAGCCGCGTATGAGCGGATTAATTTGAGTGTCTCTCCGTGGGGGGGGGAGATACGTTTATGCAGGCTGAAGTCATGATTCAGTCTGGTGAGTTTTTCTCCGGTTAAATCGCATGTTGGAGCGGTTTGCACAGACACAAATTGGTTCTCGGGATTGCGTTTGTAATTTCCATGGTGATACTCCCCTCTGCCTCCTCCTCCTCCTCCTTCTTATCCTCCTCTTTCACCTATTTCATCCCCCTTCTTCTTCTTCTTCTTCTTCTATCTCCCCCTCTTTGCCATGTTCCCTCTCGCTCATTTTCTTGCCTTTCCTTCTTTCTTCTCTGCTACCCCCGCCGTCTATCTCCCTCTGTCTTTCTCTGTTTTCTATCCCAACCCATCACTCTCTCCGTCCTGCCCTGGAGATAGTATTATCAGCGTAGTGCAAGCGGTAAATTGCACCCTGAGAGTTTCCTGGAGCTGGAGATAGGAGTCGTGTGGGGTTGGAGGTATAGATGTGGGAAGGTTGGGGCGGGGGGAGAAGCTTGTTGTACACCTCAGCCAGTGCCTGTTTCACGTGACTCTTCCTCCCACTCCTCGCCTCTTCCACTCGCCTCCCCCCATGTCGAGACGTGCTGTAGCGCCCGTCTTATCTGCACTCCAACATACTCCCACCGCTAATAGAAAGCTGCTGGAGGGGGCGTCGTGAGCAGAATGACCGCTTGAGCAGGACCGGACCTCCTGATGCTGAGGGCTCCTTGTAATTACTGTTTCCTGTGCTATGAATACATATACGCATCAAGTGTGAGTAGATTCGCTCGCATTTTTCGACTCAGATGTTGTGGAATCAGAGATCACCCGTCATCTGCAGCTCTTTGTCCTTTGCAGCCCCCGAAAAATCACGCAAGTTAAAGAGCAGTTCTTTTGTAGCTGTTGTGAGAATGTGATGCTCCGTTGTAGTAACACAGCCGGGGCTATGCTGAGGCTATGCAATGCATTGTTATTGTCAAAATCTGGGAATAGAAACTTGCATATTAGCTTGTGCCACTTCAGCCAGATCAGGTTAAAAATGGGCTCAAGTGAGACGTACACAGTTGAAACCAGAAGTTTACATACACTGTATAAAAAGACATAAATATTATTTTTTTTCTCACTTTCTGACATTAAATCAGACTAAACTTTTTCTGTTTTAGGTCAGTTAGGATTACCAACATTATTTCTATTTGCTAAACGCCAGAATAATGAGAGAGAGAATTTTATTACTTTCTTCAAAATCAGAAGTTTACATCCACTAAGATGCCTTCTAACTATTTGGGAAAGCCCAGATGATGATGTCATGGCTTTGGAAGCTTTTGATAGGTTAATTGACAGCATTTGAATTAATTGGAGGTATACCTGTGGATGTATTTTAAGGCACACCTCAAACACACTGCTTCCTTTTGTGACGACATGGAAGGTCTAAAGAAATCAGCCAAGATATCAGGAAGAGAATTGTGGACCTCAACCAGTCTGGTTCATCCTTGGGCACCATTTCCAGATGCCTGAAGGTTCCACGTT